GGTCAATTAGTCCACCCACCATATAGTTATGCTTAACCTCCAACCACATTATCATGTTGTTGCTTCTAGTGATCAACACCACTATCTTATTAAAGAGGATATGGAGAATTTCTTCAAATGAAATTTGGATAAATCTACTAGTGAGTTTGATCTCAAATTTTCTTATTCAATCCATATTACTATGAGGTCTTATCCAAAGGACTATGTGAGTCCTAAATTTAAATTTTTTAATAGAAAACAAAAAATTGACAATGAGCATCTTATGGATGTTGTGGAGATCCACAATGCTTATAGATTAAATCATGATTTAAACATAAAGGAATTTTTCAAGTCTTTAAATAAAAAAGCATACACCTAGTATAGAAATTTGTACCTAAAGAGTTTGCGATTATCACCACACAAAGTCAAATATATAAGATTTTGAGTAAGAATAGAAGAAAGGGAAACACTCATAACCAAATATAATTTCATCCTATTTCTCATATTATTAGCCAATGAGCATTCATATAGGTTTGGCAAATCTTTAGGAAGCAATGAAGCCTACCTCATGAGATGTACAACCTCCTCTCCTTTCTTACTCCACAAAATGGAGCAACCTCCAAACATGTTCCCTAGATGAAGCCTTTGATAAGGAACATGAATCACCGCCCTATAATTAGGAAAGGGCTAGTAATACTGGTTGGCTCTTAGGGAATAAAAGAGTCAATTCGAATCTCTTTACCAAAATGCCTTAAAAATTAAGCATCTCCTTAAAAAGGAGGACCTTCTATGACAGAGCTAATAGACAACCATTGGAGTGACCACTCTTGAAGAATGAGCAAGGGTTATAGGAGTGGAGAAAGGAGGAACATACTAAACCTTATCCTAAGGAAGCACTTGCCACGGAAGAATGAGAGACAATCCTCTTTCTTTTGTTCATTTGATCTTTGACCTAGTTTGAAGAATAGTAGATAGGGCATTCCACTTGCTGGAAGTAGTTAGGTGATGTTGTTGAGGGCATGAGAAAATACGACATTGTTATATTGGAGAACTTTAAACACCTATTGTTGTTTTTAATGTAGTATAAGTTTAGCATCCTAAAGAACTTTCAAGATTTCGATCGAGCCTCAAGGTAAGAATGTGTCATAGTGGCGGAAAGGATATGAGTCATAGATTGAGGTAGATCGCATCATAGTAGTACTAGCCGCTTGTCACTACAAACTTGAGATTTTGAAAGATCGTTGCCATTGTCGGTATTAAGCAAGTCGACATTACCAACATTATTATTGGAATCGAGCGTAACGTCATCATTATCGAGGGTAGTTGAGCTAGTAGAATGATTAGTGTTTGCTTTGGTTGTTTAGGAAAGAACCATTGTTTTTTTCACAATCATTAACTTCCTAGCAAAGTTGTTAAAATATATGGGACATTCTTGAAAATTAATGAAACAACTAGTCGATAAGTCTATGAAGATAAAAAAAGCTATTGATGTAACTTGTAGAAATCATGGTCAACTAACGAGTAGAAAGAATGGTAGTAATGAGAGGGGTGAGAAGACGAGCAAGTAATGCTAGCAAGATGCAAGTCGAATGGCTGGCGGATGAGTGGTAAAGTCCAAACGAATGAAATTTTAGATATTGTCTAGTGTTTGAATGGAAGAGTTTTGAGAGAGAGAGAGAGAGAGAGAGAGAGAGTCCACACACACACACACACACACGGATATATATATATTATTTTTGCTAGAGATTGGAATCTCTCGTAATAATGTAAAGTTGGTGTTTATCGTGAATTAAAGATTGTTCTTGATCGCTACGATCTTGAAACGTCATCTATATTTAGATGGTCAAATATAAATTGAAAAAAAGTTTGGTTTTTGAGTTAAACTATTTCAACTTGCTAGTAGAAACCGAAAAAAAAAAATTACGAGTTAGACTTTCTTTTAACAAACCATACTTTAAGCCTACAAAGATAATATCTTTATCGCATCTCAAAGACAAGAAATAAATACTAGTCCCGCCAAAATTCCTATGTCTATCTTTACGTAATTCAAATTCTTATACCGAAAGATGTTCATTTTCAATCCAATTCATTTGTTGTGTAACTTGAACTCGTGCCAAAATCGAGAAAAATGGTATGAATTAGTACATAACAAAATTACTTAATTAACTTACATTAAAAAAAATAAATCAAACATGCACAATATCTAAAAGATAATCACAATCTATAAACATTTATATAGACCTAATTAGCTATATATTACCGTTTTATATGTTTTGAAGTTCATTGTTTATTTTTATCACTCGTGTCTCATAGTAAAAAGTTTGATTAGAAAAGAAAGAAAAGCATCAAATATAATACATATGAGGATTTTCGTCCCAATAATCCAATCATTTTAATTTTAAGTAAGATGTTTATCTTACTTTAACCTTACTCAAATTTCCTAACTTGCTAAGATAATCCGTAATCACTCGATGCCTTTATGTCATGCCCTTGCCTCCCTCCAAGTACTATCATTTGCATTATCCTAACCGACTCCATCATTTTCTAATTAACCTTACGGGGTTTAAAAAAAAAGTTTTATATACATATATATATATATATATATATATGCAACAAATGTTCATTAATCTTAAGGGGGAAAAAAAAGAGAGAGAGAGAGAAGCAATGGGTATATATACAATACCGTAAATAAGAAAATCAATCGTGATGGCCGACATGAATCTACAAACATATATAGCTTATAAGCCGTAATTAAAAGAATTTTAGTTAATCTGTCTACTTTCAGTTTATTTAGAATTTTGCTTTGTTTATGGTGCTTTAATATGATCTTGATTTATGAAATTAAAGACGACAAAAGACTCTTTCTCTTCCGCATGAATATCATTTCAATAACATTTTTTTGGACTATTATCAATAATTAAATAATCATTGGCGATAGTCCTTTAATCTTTCTCTTATTTTTTATTTTTCTTTTTTTTTAAAATAATTTTATATTTATTTTTAGATTTGATGTTTTTAATAGTCCAAATAATTATAGATTTAAATCTATATGATCTAAAATCTTTGATTTTCTTTAGTTTGTTGTTAGTTTCTATCAACGGAAGGTTCCTTAAAAAACTTATAGTAGATTGAAGTTTGAAATTATGGTCTTAAATGGATTTTAAGTGATATAGTTGTCGAATCTGTTAATGGATTAGATTATACACATTATCGTAGACTTGTTATTTCTATTGATGGAGTTTGATAGCGCTGCATGTTCTTTTATTTATAAGTAGTGGCATGAGATTCTTGAGTTTGAGACACATGGAAAAAAAAAAAAATCAAACTACAAACATCCTAATACAAAAAACTAATTTGAAAATTTATAAAATAAAGAGGACGAGATATTATTTGAAAAGTCAATAGTTTTATTTTAGTGATAAAATCTCATTTCAAAACGAATTTGAAAACAAATACTACTCGAAATGTCAATAGTTTTTATTTTCGCAAACAAGTCTAGTTTCACTTTACTAGAATCAATTATTATACAAGTAATCTCTACTTGAGTTTTGTTAAATTTGTTATGGTTGCGTGCTATTTTTGGTATTAATAAAATTATATTTTTTTATAAAAAAATCCCCATATATATATAAAGTTAGTTGACTTGCTTGGAATCCACACTTATACGTATGTGTGTGTGAAATATAAATTGTATGCTGAACCTGCTGGTGGATTAATTTTATAATTTTATCTCTTATTACTCTGAAAGGCTAACTTCATGAGTTTACCTAACAAATCAAGTACATCAACCCCTTTGAAACCTTGCTTTGCTCATGCTATTTCCATGACATATGGTGAATGAACAACTTCACATTATTGTTTAAGTTGGTGTGTGTATATATAAAAAAAAAAAAAAAATTAATTAATTACTTAATCTGTAATTGTTTTCAAGGCATGCTCGTATAGAGATTAAATCCATATTTTTTCTTGTAGTAAAAAACATATCGAACTTGATTTGCCATTTGCGTTTGAGAAATTAAAAAACACTGTACATATTTCCTTAATGATCAAAAGAATTATGTGCTTCACTTGAACAATTATTATTATTATTATTTAACGGTTAATTGTTCCACATTTTACATTGTTTAAGCTTCAATTAAGCATATTTTAATCTCTGAATGTCTAATGGTGTTTTATTCAAGAGTAAATTACAATAAGGCTTCTATATAAATTACTATATTATTATTTAATATTCAAAATACTTTTAATTACTATTTAAAAAAATGATAGTTAAATTAAAAAACTTCAAAAATTAAAGAAATGAATACTGTTCATCTACTAAAAAAAATCATGTCCATTTTTTATATTCTTTATCTAATTTCTTAAGTTTTTATTTATTTGTATATTTATACTTTTTTTCATATTATCTAAGGATATTTTGGATAAAAGAAAAAGAAATTATCAAATTTTTTAGATGATACCAAAAGAAGTTATTGTATTTTATTCTTTATTAAATTACACGATTTACATAAAACAAACGAGCCCAACCCCAACTTAAGGTACATAAGCGATTAAACATCGTCCGACTAAGGTGGATGGCGACAAAAGCAAACGACGTCTCTTTATTTCCTCGTTATAGGATCAGACAATCGGCAGCCAGGTGTAGTATATTCTATTTCTTACTCTCCTAGAGAACGTAAAATTCTTGTATTTTATGCGTCTGGATACGTATTGCTTTCCTCGCCTTCGCTCGCATGTATAATTCATTTGCATTTCTTTATTTTTCGATAAAAATATTTACTTGTTTTATCAAATTTGATAGAAATGGGAAGTGGCACTGGGAGTCACAGGCTGATGGGAGATAGAACGTTTAAAAATACGAGCAAAGCAAGAACAAGACAAAAACGTAGTGGATTTATCCAATTGTAATCTTATGCTTGCCTAAAGCACAGCACTGAGGCTCCCAAGCTAGGACCATCTAGATAAGCAATAAAAGAAGAAGTAGCTAACTAGTGTACTGAGACCTCACAGTGGAAGTAGTAATGGCAGCTCGCAGGGTATCTTCCTTGCTTTCTCGTTCTCTCTCTGCTTCTGCTTCTGCTTCTCTTCTTTTGTCTCCAGGTACTGTTATTTCATTTCTGTTCTATGATCTTTTTTCTTGCTTTTTAGATGATGATATTTTGTTGTTTATTCCTTTTGCCACTGTTTCTTTATTCTAATCGATGTATGTTTTGAGTTATATAACTTTGGAGAGATGCCCTTTGCCTTTGGTTGGTTGCAAAGAGGTAAAGGAGGTGGTGAAGGAAAGGAAAAGGAATTTTGGTAATTATAAGATACAAGCATATCTCTGTTTAAATCTTTCTTTTGTAGTCTAAAGAAGATTCAGCAATCAGCATGGAGCAAAAGTTTTGGGGATTTTATTCCGTGACTCTGTTCTGCAGATTAATTAACAGGGGTTGCAAAAAAGAAGCCAGACATTAATTTTATGTTTAACACAGGAAGGTGGAGTTTCAAGTCTCTGTGACATGGACCTCAAAATCAGTGACTTTGAAAAAAAAAAAAAAAAAAAAAGATCCATTTTTAATTTTATTTAATTCAACTTAATTAATGACATGATGATTTACAAACAGTGCCTTCTATTCTATTCTATCTATGGTGGTTCCTTTTGACTTTGGAGATATGATAATGGCAACAGCCGTAAAGAGGATTCTAAGAGCATCTACTCACTTATTAACACCTTCTCATGCTGAACAGAACATGACTTATAATTGAAAAGAAGAACAGTTGTAAAATTTTCTGCTTACAGAGAGTGGGAATCTCAATACTTATAGAAGGCCCTACTTTCATTTTCTTTCATGTTCTGTGCATGGGAATGCAATGATAGTTCCTTGTTTTTGTTCCAGTCATGTTATAAACATATTTTAGTATTTTTCTGGTTTCTCGGATTTAAGGTTTTCAAGGTTAATTTATATTTTCTTGGATATGATCCTCAGGAACAAGTCCTAGCAGGGGAAGGGGCATCTACAGGTTTAGCACTGCTACAGCGCTCGAGGAACCAATCGCTCCACCTGTTCAAATTAGCTACACTCAGCATTTAATCAATGGGCAATTCGTCGATGCATCATCTGGTAACCCTTGGTTCATGAAACATTAACGTGATATTTTTTTTCCAGTTTTCATTTGCACTTCTTCAATTGGTCTTTGAAAACTGTTATCAATCCATTGAATTCAGCATTCTTGCTGATTTCGGATTTTCTATTGGTTGTAGGCAAAACCTTTCCCGCGTATGATCCTCGTAATGGAGAAGTGATTGCTCATGTGGCTGAAGGTGATGCTGAAGATGTCAACCGTGCAGTAGCTGCTGCTCGTAAAGCATTTGATGAGGGACCATGGCCGAAGATGAGTGCTTATGTAAGAACTTTTGCTTTGCCTCTCTTGTGAATTATAATGTCAGCGATGTCTTGTTTGTTACTAGTTGACTTGCATTTGGGGGTTTTTTTGCAGGAAAGGTCACTGATAATGTTGCGTTTTGCTGATTTGGTTGACAAACATAGAGATGAGCTTGCAGCGTTAGAGTCATGGAATAGTGGGAAGCCTTATGAACAGTCTGCTAAATCCGAGTTGCCAAGTTTTGCACGTTTATTTCGTTATTATGCTGGTGAGATTTCAAGAAAGTATGCAACATCGACTTCTTATGTGCGGTTGTCTACATGGATTTCTGATTCTTTTTTTGTCTTCTATTATCCAGGCTGGGCTGACAAAATCCATGGGCTAACAGTTCCAGCAGATGGTAATCACCACATTCAAACATTGCATGAACCCATCGGTGTTGCTGGACAGATAATTCCATGGAACTTTCCTCTTATCATGTTTGCTTGGAAAGTTGGGCCTGCATTAGCTTGCGGTAATACAGTTGTTCTAAAATCAGCAGAACAAACACCTTTGACTGCTCTCTATGCAGCGAAGCTTTTCCAAGAGGTAGGATTAATGATAAACGGTTAAATGATGAATATCTGGTGTAAGAGTTTAAATAGAATTATCATGATATATGCCAGCAGCAAAGCTATGCAAACAGTGCATTTAGAGGTATCACATAAAGTTCATAAAATTCACCTGGTAAACGAAAGTACTAAGAAGGCAGAGATGAAATATGTGAAGTTTCTCTTACTTTGCCATGGGGTTGTCTTGAAATCTATTTTTTTATCTTTTATGGCAGGCTGGTCTTCCTCCAGGTGTTCTGAATGTAGTTTCCGGCTATGGTCCAACTGCTGGTGCAGCTCTTGCTAGTCACATGGATGTAGACAAGGTATTTTATTACCTTTTTAGTATCTTGCCAACTTACAAGAGAAGTTGAATCTCTACTTTACGATATATTATATTCCAAACTCAAGTTGAATCTATGGCATATGAACCTGGCACCTTATGAATCAACTGTATCATAGAATCTGCATAACGCCCTGCCTTCCTACATGGATAGAATTTAGATGTGCACCTTCGGAACACCGTATCTTTTCCTATAAAACCAATTTCGTTTCTTTGTCACGGTAGGAGATTTCTTTCTAATATTTTTGGATTGCTAGTTTTTTTTCTTGCTCGTAGCGAAAGATTGCATTTCAAAGGCTTCTGGTTGTTATCATTGTATTAACTATAATCCATTACTGTGTATTCTGTGTAGCATGTTTGTGGAATAGCAGTGATTAATACACCATATTGTTTGCAGCTTGCTTTCACTGGATCAACTGAAACTGGTAAAATTGTACTTGAACTTGCTGCAAAAAGCAACCTAAAACCAGTTACATTAGAGCTGGGAGGGAAATCACCTTTCATTGTATGTGAGGATGCTGATGTTGATAAGGCTGTGGAGCTTGCACACTTTGCTTTGTTCTTTAATCAGGTTTGTCCAATGATTTTGCATGCAAATGCTGACTTCACTTGATGTGTAACCGTTGATTAGTTATGTATGCTTGCTGTTGCAGGGACAATGTTGCTGTGCTGGTTCTCGTACATATGTACATGAACGTGTGTACGATGAGTTCATAGAGAAAGCCAAGGCACGTGCCCTAAGACGCGTTGTTGGCGATCCCTTCAAGAAGGGTGTTGAACAAGGTCCTCAGGTACCCTGTCTTTTCCTGTAAGATTTGATGATTGAAACAATTGAGCCACAACATTCTGAATAGGCATCAGAGATTTCTCAAGTGATCTGTTTTAAGGTCCAGATTGGTTACTGTAACAGTTTGTTTAACGAGGACTGCATTAGTCATTACATTAGACCTAAAAGTTAGAAGAAAATGAATCAGTAAGATGACGAGTGAGTGAAGCTGCATACCAAGCTGAAGCTTATAACTAAAATACTCCATGGTTAAATGTCCACACTGGTATGACTATATGGAAGTTGTTATGGGATATTCCTCTCTGTAAATTAATGGTAACTATTTATACACAAATTGATGGAGCCATCAAGTAATGTTGTTTATGGACGTTGAGAAAATTTCAGATCGACTCCGAGCAATTTGAGAAGGTCCTCAGGTATATAAGATCAGGCGTTGAAAGCAATGCTACCCTTGAATGTGGAGGTCAAAGATTGGGCTCCAAAGGCTACTTTATCCAGCCTACTGTTTTCTCAAATGTTCTGGTAATACATACACCACTCTTGTTATTATTTCTCCCACTGTACTAGGTATCAAAAACATCGAATCTTAATTTTTTTTTTTTTTTTTTTTTGGCAATGCGACACAAACTTTTTGTTCGAGCAGGATGGTATGTTGATAGCACAGGATGAGATCTTTGGCCCTGTGCAATCCATATTGAAGTTCAAGTGAGCTATCTTACAAACAATTTTTTATTGCTTTCTCTCCAGTTTTAAAATGCGTAGACTACTGCTTTCAAACTGGTCATATAAGCCATCTCAAAAATTATCAAATTAGTTGGGAAATATGTGAGATTTAAATTCAGTTCTGGTCTTTATATTCTAGGTTGTAATCAAATTCTTCTTCTGCACCAGGAATATTGATGAAGTGATACAAAGGGCAAATACCAGTCGTTACGGTCTTGCTGCAGGAGTTTTCACCAAGAATGTAGACACTGCCAGCACCTTGTCGCGAGCATTGAGGGTTGGGACTGTATGGGTCAATTGCTTTGATGTTTTTGACGCGGCTATTCCATTTGGTGGCTATAAAATGAGTGGAATAGGAAGGGAAAAGGGTATCTACAGCCTCCATAACTACTTGCAAGTGAAAGCAGTTGTTACTCCATTAAAGAATCCAGCATGGTTGTAAGCTCGTCTAATCCTTCCAATATGATTCTGCTTTTCCTATCCACCTGTAAATAAGCTGAGTGTGCAAGCAAGGATTGTATGAAACCGTGGACAGAAGGTAAAACTTTATCAAGAAGACGAGCTTGTTTTTACTCAATTACTCAAAAGCGGCTCTGCAAGTTCTGTTTATGATTCACTCTTTCAAGGTCAAATACGATGTGGCAAACAGATCCATGAACTTGTGCCATTGAAATCAAGAAGGCAATTAATTATTGGCAATATTCAACAGTTACTTGACAATATTTGATTGGCCAGCTTCTTTGAAGCTGTCTATCACCTCCAAGCAAACCTTCTTCACTGACCTTAGGATTCCACGATAAACTTTAGCTTCATAACTTCTTCTGTGTTTACCTCTAGCAAAGGGTATGTAATAAATATGCCCCCACATAAACTGCTAGTTGCAAATGAAACCTCCACAATTTTCAAATATCTCTCCTGAAATTATTTAAATAACTAATTAACGTGAATAAAAAAGGACAAAAATTACATCAACGGGATCGATGCGATCAAGCAAGGGGACGCTGAGAAAGAAATTCATGATATAAAAAAATATATTCCCTTCAAAAAAGAAGGGCTGCTTATGAAACAATGGTGTATGTTTAATAAGAGTAGAATTCATTCTTAACAAGAACAGCAAAATGAAAGACCAACCTCATACTTCTCTTTCAATTCGAAATGCCGAGAAACCTTCTCTTCGATCCCAGCGGAACGCTTAGGCCTGTTTCCTTCTTTTTCTACAAAGGAGAGAGGTAGTGTGTGTGTATATGCGGTCCACACTGATTGCGCTGGTCCGGTTCATCTACAAATTTTTTAAAGGCACTTTTATTTAACAAAAATAATTATAATATTAATCACTCCTATTTTATAAGGATAACACCCAAATCCCTTACAAAAAAATCCAAGGAAATATTTTTTGTCTCTGAGAACGCAAAATAAAATTTCATATAAGAAAAAATCTCAAAATTTAACTCGTCTTGATCCATTTGAGTTTTTTTTTTTCTATTTTCAATATTATATTTCTAAATCATATATATATAACTTTTTTTCCTTCAAATTAGCAAAAATAGAAAAAATAACAAGAGAAAGAAGTTTTGTTTCTATTAGCATGATGCATGCGGGCAGTTGTTTTAATTAAAAAATTAAAAAAACTTATTTTGGCATCTCATTTGAAAATTAAATTTAGTTTAATTACATGATAAAAGTAAGAATTATCAAACTATGGAAATATTATTAAATATGTTATTAATTAACTTAGTTTAGTCTCTTGTCTCTTGTATGTTATAAATATAATTAGCTATTAAAATACAAATATGAAAATAAATGATGTGATATTTTTAAAAATTTTAATTTTGACGGCATACATTTTTTTTCCCTTCAAATTGCAAACATTGTTCTATCCTAACAGCAGTTATAATCTCGTAATCTGATTGGTTTCAAAGAAATAAAATGTAAAAGTTTACATAATATAAATATTGTAAATGTAATATTATAGCAATGTAATCTTGTAAAATATTTCTATATCAAATTCATTAAATATTTTTATATTCTTGAAACCTCAAACTAGAACTTTTCATATATATAAAAAAATCCACATGTAATAGCTTTTTTTTTTTTTTTTTGCTAAATTTTGATTTTATTTATTTATTTATTTGAGTGATTGCCTTAATGAATTAAACAAAGAGTTAGGTCTATAGTAGCCACTAGGAATGTGGCCACACGAAAACAAGGAAACCACATGAATACAAATAACAAGAAACATCAAGGAGATGGCATGATTTTTGGCAAAATAACACTAATTGAAAATTTCTTCCATATTTAGAGCAATTAATTTTGTTGAAGTTTGGTAGTAGATCACATGTTACAGCGTTATTACAAAATTAAAAAAATACTCCATAGTGATGACACCAAAATTCATTAATAAATAGATGATGGCCCCTCCATATTTCATCCTCTTCGATCTGCAGTAGTTTCACAAAAGTTCAATACAACATAGTTTCGAGAAAAAAAATTATACATAAGACTATTTTAAAAAAATTATTAAAATTTTTCTGCGTATATTTTAATTTTTAAATTGAAGTTTTCATATGTATTGTTCATTGTTTACCTTCTTTTTTTAAAGTATATATACTTAAACTAAAAAAAAAACATATGTTCAAATAAAAAAATAATAGTACAGACACTCAATTAGAAATAAAGTGAAATATTTATATTCATATGGTGAAAATGTTAGCATGTTGAAACGTCACTGTAATGAGCACGTCAGAATTAATATAATAAAAACACTTTATTAATAAAAATTTGAAAATTCGCATACTAAAATAAAAAATAAAAAATTGGCACACCAAATATGTAATGATCTCATTAAAAATTTGTTAAAATTGTATAAAAGGACACCATCGCCCTTCTGTATTGTACATCACAATTTCAAAAAGAAATCATCAAAACCTTTATGCTAAACATGGTTAATTTAATGGAATATTTTATTCATAAATTATTGAGATTATCACAAAATAAGTTTTAAATTATCAATTTAGTTTAATTTTTTAGGTAAACATGGTTAATTTGATGGTCAAGTTTTGATTTTGATTGTTAAGTGAAAAATTCAATACAAAGTTGTTTTTATTGGTATCTAAAATTGAACTGAACTATCAATTTTGGTTCGATTTTGAACTACAATTGTGAAGAAAAAAACAAATAAAAAAACTAAAATTATTTCATTTCAGTTCAATCCTCTTGTCGAGTCGACTATTGATTCACAAATGTTCAAGTGATCACCCTATCGAGATGAGTAGTTTCTCAAAAATATTCAAATGATCACCTTATCGAGATGATCAAATTTTAAAAAACATTTAAGTGGTCACCTTGTCAAGATGACCAAGTTTGAAAATCATTTAGGTGGTCACCTTATCGAGATGACCAAGTTTGAAAAATATCAAGTGATCATCCTATCGAGATGACTAAGTGTTTAAAAATGTCCAATTGATCAACTAGTCGAGATGACCAATCTTTCTCTTAAAAAGATTTTTCAAAAACTAAGAGTCACATTTCAGCCACTTCAACATCTCAAAAGGATTTACATATTCTTCACCCTATGAGTGTTCGTATATTTGATGGATTTGCTTCACTCTATGAGGGTTCGTATATTTGATGAACTTTCAACATCTTAAGAGGATTCATATATTTCTTCATCCCATGAGGGTTTGTATATTTAAGAGATTTGCTTTACCCTACGAGGGTTCGTATATTTGAGGAACTTCCAACATCCTAAGAGGATTTATATATTTTTTCACCTTATGAGGGTTCGTATATTTGATGAACGTTTTCACTCCATAAAGGTTTGTATATTTGATTCATTTTGAAAATCAAATCTCCTTAAGAGAGATCGTATATTTTATTGCTCTTGTTTATCAAAATCAAATCACCTTCAAGAAAGTTCTTACATATGATTGATTTCTTTTATGTCACTCTCTCTAAGAGGGATCATACATTTGATTGCTTCACTCCAAAAGAGTTTGTATATTTGATTAATTTTTTTTTTCAAAATCAAATCATCTCGTAAAAATTTTATATATTTGATTGATTTTCTTTTTAAAGTCAATTCTCCCTATAAAAGATTGTATATTTGATTGCTTCACTCGAGAGTTCATATATTTGTGTATTTTTAAAAATCAAATCACCTTAAGATGGTTTATATATTTGATTCATTTCTAAAATCAAATCACCCATAAAAGGTTCGTTTCTTTGATTTTCTCATCCATTCTTTTGTAGCCATATTTCTTTTTTACAAGCTCATTAGGTCAACATGTACGAAGACCTATCTTCTTATATCTTTGACACATAAGCATTGTAAAGAAGAGACGAGTTGTCATCACTCTATTTTTACCCCTATAAAAATACAAAAAAAAATTTCTTAAAAAAAGAAAACAACAAAAAAGGAAAAAGAAGGAACTAGGCCTAGATCGAGATTAGGCTTGATACTAGGCATTGGTTAGGCATGACTAATAATAAAAAAGGAAAAATCAAAATAGAAAAAATTTTCTAAACCAATCCTAGGTACACTCCCATAAATACTATGCATATACACATATAAAGGGGGGAATGTACACTACCACCTAGAGGGAAAAAAAAGCCTAATAGCCTAAAGACAATAGCCAAAGTTCAAAACATAGTTGCTCCTCCTCTAATCATCGAAATCAAACATTCGTTGGACCACCATGACAAGAAGAAAGAGATGACACCAACGCCATTGGTCCGCCACTCATACAATGGTTGAAGCTCTCTCACATGCATGAATGCCCTAGAAAATGTATGGGACATGTGCCACATACAACAAGTCCGTGTATCTTTCCTTTTGTTTTGCTTAACTTCGATGTTGTAATTATACCCTTATGTTTCAACATTTTTTTTATTTAATTTTCATTCGAATTTTTATGGATTGCATAATTATATTATTGATTTATATGTTGCAATATCAATTATGTGATTAACATATGATTGTGATGATTAATTGAATTAAAATTATTTAATTTGGGCATAATTGAAAAAAAAAATTGAATTAAGAGTTCTTGATGTTATTTGACAAATTTAAAAGGATTTCAATTTAAATTTTTTGATTTGTATATATGTGATTTTATTGGGGTAGAGAATATTTAGTACTTTTAGGGTTTTTCTTATTTTTAATATATTATTATAATTATGATAACATTTTCAAAAAAATATAGGGTAAAAGGTAATAACTTAATATGTATTATTTTAATATAAAAAATCCTTGAAGAACTATCCATTGATGATAAAGCCGATAATAGGCTAGTAATTTTTTTAGAAAATCAAAATAAGACAAATCAAGAATAATAGGCTAAGGATCTTGTGGAGGTCTATTGGCTATTTTATTTTTAATGGTGTCGTCTTATATGATTTGTAGTTTTTACATGTTTAATTTTATGTCTTGCACGTCGTGTGTTT